CCAAGTCCCTCTTAGCACTTTGATTTTGCCACCTAACAGAAATTAGCCTTTGACCTCCCCTTTCCAGCTCTTGCCATCTGAACTCCCAAAACCCATACTATACTAAATCCCATGTACAAAAAGGTCAGGAGCCTGGGCAGGTAGAGGGACGAGAAATTCCATGATATTCACACGTAAGTCAAAATTTCCAAACTGTCTTATCCAAGGTCATCTTGCACTCTATCTTGAAACTCTCATGCTCTGATAAAGGGCTCAAAGTGGGTAGTTAGGAGTGGGTAGTGGTTGAGAATTCTTCCCATAGGAAGCAGAAAAGACAACCAGACAGAAAATTCTGAGCTACAGGAGAGGCTGCAGGGAACCAGGAAGGGCTGGGTGTGAAGAGAGAGGCCAGGAACTGAGGCTGGCCTGTCCCCTGCCTGCAAGAACTCAGGGGACCTGAGTGAACCAGGCTGCGCAGGAATGTGAGAACGTTTACATCTTATCCCTTGTGCCCGCACAGCCGTACTTTCTCTATTTATTTCTAGGCCCCTTTTCACCCAAACAAACTTGCTCCTCTCTAAGACATAAGCTCTGTACTGGGCACTGGTACCCGATGTGGGGGGCCTCCTAAGGGAATCAGAAGTAAAAACCTCAGCTCCTCAGTGGCTGAGCTGTGCTCAGCTCTAGCTAAAGGGTCCTCACTTCTCTGAACATGACTCCTCTTATCTGGCACGCAACAGATGTTTAGGAACATAGAATAACCTCAAAGGAGAAAACTGTCAAACCAACAAAGGGTCAGAGGTAGAGATGAGACTGTTTGCATTCTCTTCTGCCATGGACATAAACACATAGAGTCACAGAATGTTAGAAATTTAAGAACTGAGACATGATGTCTAATTCCCCATTTTACAGATGTGGAAACTGAGTCCCAGAGAGGGGTCATGACTTGCCTAAGATCACTGATTTATCCACCACAAACTCCAAAGCCAGTCTTCAGATCTGAGGGGGATGCTTATCTAAACATCCATCCCCTCAGGGCCAGAAAAAAATAGCTTTAAATTGCAAACAAAAGGATTCAGGTGAAACATAAAGAAGAATCCTGACTACAAGAGTGGGTAACAGAAGACTGTGGAACAGCCGTCTCTGGGATAGGATTCTGCCCACAGGTGGGGGATGCCTGAAAGGATCTCTGCACTGCACGCCCCAGGGGCACCGCTCTCACACCAGTCCTTTCATTTGGAGTCCAAGGGATTCAAGGTCCCTCTCCCAGAGCCTGGCGCCATGGCCCGTGGCTGGGGAACTTGAGAGGACAGTCCTGGAACAGGTGCAACAGCTGGAGCAACTGTACAGCTGTTGTCTGCTCTGGCTCAGCAGTCTGCAAGCGAGTGAGTGAAACAGAGACCTCTACTGGTGGGATAGAGGAGGTGCAGAACTGCCCAAACAGACCCGGATTGGGGCTTGCCTGGAGGGAGACGTCAGGCCTTCACTTAGGCACGCGCCACTCCCTGCACACATCTGGACAAGTGGATGAGGATGCAACTAAGCTGGACATCAGGGCAGGGTCCTCGCTTGTAAGTCTCCCTCTGCATCTACTGTCCCAGACCTCTAGGTACTGTCTCCTGGTGTATGAGGGTCTATCTACTCCTCTGTGTCAGAGCAGAGGTATCAGGCTGCAGACCCATCACCTTACCCCGCCCCCGCCCCCGCCCCGCCAAACTTTTTTTGTAAAGGTCTGAGAAGACTCAGAATCAAGGCAACAGCATCTTTGGATTTTAGAGTCTTAGAATCACAGGATGTTAAAGCCAGAACAATCCTCAATGGTTACGCATTTGGGTCCAACCATCTGGCTTTACATCTAGGGAAACTGAGGACCAGAGAATGGCAACTTGCTCTGTGTCACAGTTTGCACTGGCGATAGAGGCAGAGCTGGAGCCCTGACCTTATGATTCCAAGTTTGTCCTTCGCACTACATCATGCCATGGGAGCTCCCTTCGCACCACATCTCTGTTCCTGGGGTTTGGGACTCTGTCACCTGGGAACAGATGCTTCGAGTCCCATAGAACAAAAACCCTTGGGGAAAGAATAGAGAGATCAATGTTTTTACTTCATAACCGACTCTCCTGAAAGTAGGATTGGATGGGGTGGGGAGGGGGGGTAGGGAGAAAGAGCAGAAGCCTACTGGACACCTTAAAAGGGGAGGCAATTAGTAAGGGAAGGGCACAAAATAGAGGACCTGACATGGAGTCTACAGAGCATTGGAGAGGGAGACAAGACACTAGACAGGCTCTCGTTCAGTAGAGGGATGAGTGCTCGAAGTGATCAACATCATGCATGCATGTGACTCTCTGCCTGGGGCTGGAATCAGAACTGCTCAGTGACCAAGTCAGGGACCCAGAATAAGGGTTCAATTTGTGGTCCATGTTTGAGGATCAAGGCTCAGTCTGTGACTGGAGTTGAGCTTCAGTCTGGGTTGGGGTCAGAACTCAATCTGTGGCTGGAAATAGAGCTAGGAATAGAATAACCTTTGTTTGAATAGCCTTGTAATTTAACTGAGGAGCAAGCAGCCACGCGTGCTCAAAGGCCCTTGGCATTTGCAGGGCTGAGCCCCCTCAAGAGTCTGCAGACTTGAGAATTTCCATCTGTTGGCACCACTTCTAGGAGAATCTGAGGTATTACCAGGAAGTTTCTTCCCCACAACAGGTCTGAGATTTTACTTAAACTAAGACAAGGACCTTCATAAGAGACCTTCAGACTGAACACTGACAAATGATTATTGGATTGTTTCTAGATTTATAAATTGTCATCAGTAGACAAAATTAGGCTCAGAAAAGTCAAGTGATTTGGCCCAATTCATACAACCTGTAAGTGACACATCAGGGGCTATAATCTTTCCTTTAACACATTTGCTGTGTGGTCTTGGGCAAGTCATTCACCCTTTCTGAATTTAGTTTTAATTGTAAGGATAGGAAAATTGAGGGATAGAAGCAGAAGATTTTCAAAGGCTCTTCCCACTCTGACATCTTAGAATCTTAACACAGCTCTCTGAGTGTCAGTTCACCTCACCCTAACTCAATCAAGTCTGCTCTGTTATTTCCTTGTGTGTCTGGAGCTAAGTTCCAGGCTGCAGTGGAGACATGGACCTGACGCAGTGAGAGACATGGACCTGAAGGCCAGTGGAGGCACAGAGGAAGGAGATCACAGTGGGTTAGGTGGCCAGGGAAAGGTTGCTGAACGACGTATGCCTAAGCAAGGTGAAGGGCTGAGAAGATGTGGAAGGCAAAGAGGAGAGGTGTGGGTAGGACATGAGCAATCCTGCAAAATGATCTGATTCTGGGGCATCTTTCCAAATTGCAATAAGGGCAGCCATATCTGGAGGAAAACCTTGGGGGCTAAGAACGATGTGCCAAATGGGAGAGGCAGGCAAGGAGGGCATCCTGTGCTAAATCCCTTTTAAGAAACAACAGGTAAGTGTTAAGAGGAAACCTCCAGGGCTCAAGAAGGGGGAGGAGACATTTACTGAGTATTAGGCATTGTGCTGAGCACTTGAACACAGGCACCTCCTTTCATCCTTCCAAGAACCTGTGGGTTCCAGGTGAGTATGTGTGTTGGACAGATGAAGAGATTGAATCTCAGAGAAGTTGTGATGTTCAAAAGGTCATACCACTGCTAAGGAGCAGAGCCAGGACTTGAACTCAACACAGAACCCTTTCCATTACTTGTTCCTGAGGACTACCCGGAGTCTCATGCTGCAGCAGCTCCGGACGACCAGTCACGAAGCCTGCCTTCGCAAGCAGAGACAAGAATGAAACAAAATCTAGCCCCACCGCCTCCAAAAAGTCACATGCGAAAGAAAGGCAGAGATGGGGGAGCGGAGCTGTGGAAAGAGCGCTTGGCTGGGAGGTGGGAAACTGGGGTTTTCATTCCAGGCTCTGTTCTGTGTAAACTGGAGTGAAATCACTGCCTGTATTCGGCCTCAGTTTCTTTATTGGGTATTTCAGGGTTTGAACTAAGCTCCTTCTTATTAAGAAAAGCTTCGGTTTTGTTTGACATCCTCACAGCATTCTAAGAGATTGGCAGGGGATGGAGAGGTGCCCACCAGAACACTTGCGGGGCAGTGAGGAAACTGAGGTTCAGAGAAATTACACAAACTGTGTGAGGTTACGCTGTATCCAAGTGGAAAAGCATAAATTGGGGAACTGATATTTTAAAAGAACCTACTATGTGCCAGCTAGTTGCTTTACATATTTTCTCTAATTTAATCCTCACTTCAATTCTGGGATTTGTGCTCCCATTTTATCAATTAGGACACTGAGGCTCAGAGAGGGGCCCGCCCTACCTGCCTCCCACCAGCTGGCATTCACCAGGCCTGTGGCAGCGGACACTGGTTTCTCTCTCTGTGCCCTGCTGCCTCCCAGAGTCTCACAAGTCCAAATCAAGGCTCCTCCCAGACCCTGCCGGACAGGGAAAAGCACAGGATTTGGAATTGTAGAGCTCTGGCTTCGGACGGCTTGCTAGCTCTGCACACTTGAGCAAGTTTCTTCTCTTAGCCTAAGTAAGCCTTCTCATTTGTAAAATGCCAATGATACCCACCTCCGCGGAGTGTTGTGAGAATCAAAAGAGACAACAGAAGGGGAGAGTTAGCTGTTCCTCCTTTCCACCAGCTCTCTTTAAAATGCAGTAGCCTTTTCCTCTTCATCACACCTTTGCAGCCAAACACACGGGACTCTACTAGGAATAAGTGCCTCCAACTCCCACCCTCAGAGCACAACGACCAGCCCTCTCTCAAGCTGCCCTCAGGGCCCTGACAGCAGCCCCCTTGGCTCTGGGTCTTGCCAGGTTCCCCGCAGTCTCCCAGTCATCAGCCCATACAGGTCTGCTGAGGAGCTCCACTCTGCCGGCACAGGTGCTGCCTGGGTGGCAGTCAGAACACTTTGGGGTCCCTAGTCCTGGCGCTTTCCCCCACACATCCCTGGGGCTCGTATCCCTTCTCTGCCCACCCAGCACCCTCACCCCCTACTTACGAGCTCGAGCGTGGGAGTCCAAGGGGAACCAGAGCAGCGCGAGTCCCAGCAAGGAAGAGAGGACCCTTCCTTCGGGAATCATCCTTCCTTCTCCCAGAGCCAGGCCACCAGGTGCTGAGCGGGGAGGAGGGTGGGAGACAGTGAGCTGAGGGGTACACTGAGGCACAGGGGCACAGGGGCACAAAGCAATCCACAGACCCAGGGAGGGCTGCTGTTACAGTGGAGAGTCAGAGAAGGGTGGAGAAGAAGGCGGTGAGGACCAAAAGGGATGTCTAAGGTGGGAATAAAAGAAAGGTGAAAAGAGAACGAGGGGAAAGGAGGGAGAAGATGGAGAAATGAAAAAGGTACGGCAAAGGGGAGAAGCAATTCAAGCAAAGGAGAAGGTGAGAGGGAGGGGCGGAGAAGGAAGACGGGAGAGGACAGGGGTCTGCAGAGCGCGCAGCGTTGGGCGAGGCGCGCGGGACCGGCGAGCTGTTCTGGGCGCGAGGATTAGAAGCGGCTGGCGCCCCCTGCTCGGTGGGCTCCAGGTCGGGCCGCGGGGTTCAGGGGCCCGGCGAGGCGGCGATCCCGGCGGCGGCGACGGCGCGGCGGCCGTGGGGGGAGGTTGCACGGGGGCCGGCTATGCACGCCAAGGGCGCCAGGCGCCGCGCTCGGGCGCATTTGTACTTTGCCGCGGGAAGCAGGCAGCCCCGGCCTGGCGCTGGCCTAGCACTGGCGCCTCCTCTGGGGCACCGCGGGCTCGATGGATTGGCCACCCGAGAAACAGGCCCACTTTTTCCCCTCCTCTCTCGTGCGGGTCTCCGGGACCGACGCTCCAGGCGCGGCGCCGAGAGGAGGCGAGGGGGCTGGGGAGGGGGAAGGGGCCACCAGGGCCACGGGTTTTAACCCCTGACTCCCCGCGACGCCCAGAGTGCAGGAGGACGGAACCCACTTAGGCTTCTGGCAGAACTTGAGGGTGAGGAAGGATGAGATGTCGAGATCGAAGAAGGGAAGCCGGCCGCGGAACCTTGAGGCGCTCAGTTTGGGGAGCTCGGCGGTGCGTGCACAGAACTCGGGCTTTCGATGGAATCAGTACACTTGCTCTTCTTAGTTCTGTTTGCAACATTGGCCACTCCACCTCAGAGCCTGTTTCTCCATCTCTGAAATGGGAATCTTAATATCTTTAGTATCTTTAATATCTCTTCACAATTGTTTGGCTTCTCCTTACTATTGCCCCCTATCTTACACTTTGACTAACGAAATGAACTGGTAGTGATCGTCAAAGCACTCAAATCTGAAAAAGTAAAGGTCATGATTCCAGGCTGCTGAAATGCCGTTACCAGTTTCCCTCCATACCCACACAAGCCATGACCAGGTCGAAATCCAGCACAGTTTAACACTTTCTTTGGAAGTCTTCCTTGTGTCCCCATTCCATTCCCAAAGCAGGATGCAATCTCTCTTGCTTCGGCAGGTCCTAAGGCCTGCACCTCTCTGAGGGTGCTGGACATGTTCAGTTCTCTTCAACAAGAGCTGGTTGTTGGAGTGTTGTCTTGCCCACCAGAAGACCAGCTTCCTGAAGCTGGGCGCTGAAGCTTCCCACCCCCAGCCTGTGGATGGTGCTTTTTACCTTGCGTTCAATGAATGTTTGAATTAATAAGATCCTAGGAAGAGAGCAACCAACCTTGTCCAGACAAGGAACACCCAGACTCGGAAATCAAAACGGAAGGCTCTTATCCTGGCTCTCTTCTGAAACTCCTGGGACATTTTGGTACATCCATTCCTGCTTTGGACCTCAACTCCCTGCTCAGCTTTTCTTGCAAACCTGCTGGAAACTCCAGTGAGAGCTGGAGGGCAGAACATTGAGCGGAGCAAGAAATGATGTGGGATGTTGAGCCACATCCCACTCTGGAAGTTCCCCACTCCGCTGTGCTGCCAGTCTGTCCCCTTCACAATGGGGAGCCCTGGGAGCCACCAGTGATCCCCAAAACAGAGCTTCCCCAGGGATCTCAGAACCAGGGACATACATGATCTGTTTTCAGGGTACCCTTCATGGTTAACTTCTCCCATTCCAATCTGGCCAGTCTCTTCCTCTCCACTGAGTATAATTTATTTTAAAATTTAATGAGAGCTCTGTTTGTCATCAAGCTTCCCTTTTTGCCTTGGCTTTCAGGGAGCTCAAGAGTTAAATTTAGTGCTTAATTACAGAAATAATCTCATCCCAAGGACATGGGACAGAGATCTTTCCTTTCTCCATCTTTGTTTACAATCTGCTATATACATATACGCACTTCTTAGGTGTAAGAGGTAGATTAAGATTGGCTCTTCCCAACTCCCAGCCCCCAATCCTGCTCATTCTACTTCAGGAAAGGTCTCTACCATGAGACCAAAAGGTCTCAACCTTCCTCTCCATCCTAACTGACTGTCCTAGAGTTCAGGCCATCATCATCCCTTACTGGCCTTTGCCAATAGCCTTTTAATACGTCTTCTGCCCCTAGTCTGGGCCCCTCCAATCTGTTCCTCATACCTGCTGCAAGAATTATGTTGATCGTTTCTACTGACAAATCTGATCACATCACATTCCCACTTAAAACCCATCTTTGGAAATAAAAAGTAAATAACATTAAATGCAATGTGGTATCCTGGGTCGGATTCTGGGACAGTGAAAGCACATTAATGGGAAAACTGGTGAATAAAGTCTCTATTTTAGTTAATAGTAATGGACCAATGTAGATTTCTTCATCTTGACACATGTGCCATGGCTATGCAAGATGTTAGCACTGGGGAAACAGGGTGAAAGATATACGGAGTGGGGCACAAGTAGGTTTATACTTGTTCTCATGGAAAATAGCACAATGATTAATAAATAATAATACAAGAATAAACTGTGTTTCACTTACTCACAACTGTAAACGTACCTTTGTCTCTCCTTGTATGGTTCCTGGATAAGAACTCTGGACTATCTTTGCAACTTTTCTGTCAATTTAAAATTCTTCTGAAATAAAAATTTTAAGTAAATAAATAACAGAACATAAAACACCATTGGCTTCCTATCATTTACAGATTAAAATAAAAAATCATTAGCATTGGATTCAAAACCATGCACATTTTGGCTTCTCTTTACTATTACCACCTACCTATCCTTTACCAACAACTTACCTCCCCACACTGGCATTGCATTTTCATGCCTCCATATCTTTCCATATGTTTTCCTTTTGCCTGGACTTTCTCTTCCTTTATTAAGTGAATTTCTTTTCACTCTTCAAAAGTCAACTCTCTTAATCTTCCCCCACCCTCCTCTTCTGCTCTAGTAAAGAGGGTCAAATATATTGTGACAGAAAGAGACTAGACTTGGGGGTAGTGAGCACATAATAGAGTATACTAACGTGGTATTATAAAGTTGTACACCTGAAATTTATCTGTTATTAACCAATGCTATCGCAATAAATTCAATAATTAAAAAAGTCAGCTCTGAATCACTTCCTCTCTGAGGCCTTCCCTGAGTCTCCTTAGCAAAGGGAACTTTTGGTAGCACTTTGTTTTGTAGCTATTGGAGTGTAAATATTTATTTGCATTTCTACCCTGCTCTGTGAGGGCAGGGGTGTTTTTCCATTTCTATCTACATTTCTAGCACTTAGCAAAGTCCCTGACACACAAAGAGACTGAATAAATAATTGCTTCATGAATAAGTGTAGACCTCAGTGATTTGAAAAACATTATTTCATGGGAGAGCCTTCAGTATCTCTATTGCCTTCAGCTTTTTGTAGTTGTTGTTGGGTTTTTTTTCCCTCACTCAAGGACATTTTTCCATTGCTTTTAGAAAGGAAGGAAGGGAGAGAGAGAGAGAGACATTGATGCAAGAGAGAAGCATCCATTGGTCGCCCCCTGTACACACCAGGAATGGGGATCATACCCACCTAGACCTGTCTGGACTGGGGATCAAAACTACACAGTTGGTATGTGCCTTGACCAAGATCAAATCTGCACCTTTCAGTTATGGGACCATGCTCCCACCAACTGAGCCATACTGGCTGCGGCTTGTCTTCTGTTTTAATCAATGATTGATATAAGAAAAAAGCACTTGAGGAAAGTTTCTGTGTTTTCTGTAGAACTGCTGTTAAGGATGGTTGTCCATTATTACTGAATATCCTTTAAGCAAGGAGATTTGATAAATTCACCCAAAATCCAGTCAGGAAAGGAATCGTATCTATGCATAACAATTTTTTGCACCACTTTTGTCTGGGACCTGCCTGCTTCTCTCTTAGGGAACTTGTTCATTGCCTTCCAAGGCAGCCCATTGCACTGTTGGACAGCTCTGTCAGAAAGTTCTTGAACTGAAACCTGATTCTCTTGGACTCCCTGCATTTGCTCTTAGCTCTGCCCTCAGGGCTGCACACAGCAAGCCAACTCCTTTTGTCTTTTGAGAGTTCTACAGAGATTTGAGGCAGAGAACCCTTCTTTCGTACTCTCATCCCTACCCGTCCCAGTCCCTGGCCCCTTCATGCTACATTAAACTTTCTCTTTCTTCAAGTGTGCTCAGCTCTTTGCCACCACACCTCTGCACAGACTGTTTCTTCTAATATCCTGTTTCTATCCACTCCTGTCTGTCTAGCAAGCTTATTTTTCCACAGTCAAGGTAAATGCTACCTCTTTCACTCATCGAGCAGTTATTGAGTGCCAACTCTGTGCCAAGCACTGTACTGGGTGCTAGGGACAGGAGAGACACTGGTGCGACTAGTCCAGGTTCTTGTTGCTGCCTCTTTCATGGCTTCTGAGTTATCTTCTCCCTCCTCCATGCTACTGTACCTCCATTATAGCATTTACCACACTGTATTATCAAAGGTTTTCTGGCACCTCCTCTAAAGTGAGTTCTTTGAAAACATAGACTATTTATTGACTCTCTCCCCCAGTCTTTGACACAGTTTTGCACATAGCAGCTGCTAAATAAAAGTTAAAAATATTTGTTAAAAAATATTCTTGTTCCTTCAAATAGTCCTCTTATGACATGTTATTTGTAGGTAAAAAGACTCCTTCTGGGCTGCAGGCTGCTTATGTAAAATTAGCATAACAATAAGGAATTGAGTGTCTTGGGAAAACTTAATCCAG